ATATGTAATACATATATTAAGATTAAAAACTGGGTTTTACAAAAATAAAATCCGAACTTACTATGAGGGCGTTCCGTGCCCAAAATTTCAAAGTTCTATAAGTGAAAAATTTAAATAAATATAAAATCTGAAATCTTTTAAAAATTGAGTGAGACCATGGTCCCCACTGTCATTCATTGGATTCGCCACTGGTTGAGAAAAGTGGATGGGATGAGGGTGACGCGCAATGCTCAGGGCTCCAGTTTCCTTTCTTTCTTTATCATTTACTTTTAGTTTGCGTCAAGATGATCAAGATCAGCACCTGAGATGGCAAGTTTTCTAAATCACATGGAAGAAAATATTACAATAGTTTATCATCGAGAGATTAAAATCTGTTATGCCTGAAAAATACAGGGCTGACGTAAGGTCCAGTCAGCATGCAAAAGTCAGAACATGGGTACACCCGCAGCCTGCTTCTGTCAGAATAGTGGGTGCGCGCCAGACCAACCAGAAGCTGTGATGATTCCACGTATCCAATCCCTGCTTCAAATCGTGCACATCACTCTAGAAGGTGGGTAATATGACATAAAGAAAGATTTGCACGGATAATCCCACCAACTCACAGATTCAGTAATCATAATCTCAATGTATCCCACTATAAATTGAGAGCTCATCTCTCACTCAAGGGATTCGCTCATTTTTACTCTTGATTAGCTATTCTCTCTCAAGAATATATAGCATTCTCTCTCTTGTACTATCGCTTTGTGAGTCATTTGTAAATCATTTGTAGGTTAGTCCACTAACGCGACCTGACCCTTATCATTAATATAAACATCAATGGACGTATGACTTGCTACCTTAGCCTCTGAACCACTTTAAAAGTTGTCCCCATTGCATTTACTCTCATTTTCCTTTATATTCAATTGTGTCTTCTGGGCCAGCTCAGCATTTCACACGTGCGTTTAGTTGGTGTAAAAATCACGTATCAACAAATCTATCATGAAACATTTTTTAATGTTTGACAAATCTAAGAGATTTTTTATGATTTTAAAATCACCTTATACATAATACTATAGAAGAATGTTTTTATGCCTAAAAAGTCAAACTGACGTAAGCTTACATCAGTAAGCGTCAATCAGAGTTCAAGAAGGTTTTGCATCATCTAAGAGTTGTCACGTCGTCCCAAGACAGGAAGAATATGGTTGTCACCAACTTGACAGATTCAGGTTTTGTCTATGAGTGAATGAGGGTTGCACACCTGTCCAAACCTTAGGTAATTTGAGAATATTTTCTAAGTTATCAGCCAATGAGACGCAAGGAAGAACTTGTACAGCACCTACCCACTTGCAGATTTGTAATCATTACCTTGAATTCCTCTACTATAAATAGGGGACTCCTCCTCTCATTTTGGGGATTTTGAGATCAAAACCTCATTCTGATTATAATCTTTAACTTTCAGAGCAAAGATAACCTACGAGAAAGAAACTGACTTGAGATTATATCTAAATACTCAGTTATTGTACCTCTGCTCGCTATTCGTTATATGCGACCTCTTGTAATCTCTCATGTATAAAATAACAGTAGACGTAAGATTCGCTTTAAGCGTCCGAACCACTTTAAAAACCATCTATCATTTATTATTTAATCCTTGCATTCGATTATCATAATATTCATGTGTAATTTCTAAGAACAACTTTGCACTTTTCACATGCGAGTCGTTGGTGTCAAAATTAAACATAAAAAAATGTAAAATTATTTTCATTCGGGTTTCTAATCTCTAATTTTAAATTGGCATGTGTCTCATCTATATATATATATATATATTAAAAGAGATTAATTAAAAAGTATAAATATATTTGTACATTCATTCTTTATAGAAGTACATTTCCTGGAGATTTCTTATAAAGGGCGTTTGGTTGGGAGTTATTGGAGATTATTTGGGTTAAGTCATCTGATATTACTTGATTACCATATTTGATTGTCAAGTAATATATTATCGGTAATCTTCAAATGCCAATAGTGGTTACCATTGGTAATATTGGAGGTAATCTGATTACCTCCATTTTCTTAGGTATTCTAAGATTACCAAGGTTATATTTTTTGTTACAATTCTATCCCTTATTAATAAAATTTTAGGACAATAATCCCCTTATTTTTTAATTTGTTTACATGAATATGGCTTTTACTATTTTACCCCAATTAATTAACTTTTTGGACAAAATTACTCTTGAATTCAAAACAAATTACAGCCCACCCAAGCCATCACCCCCACCCACCTGTCGTCGGCAACCACAGCCGCGGCTAGCAGCCGTCATCATTGGAACGATGCACGGAAGGCCAAAAATGGCCGCTGTGCGCCGATATGGCCATTTTCGGCTAGATCTATCACGTCTGGCTATTTCCGGTCAGATCTCTGGCCGTAAATGACCATACGACGTATGAAGGCCATTTCCTACCTTTCGTGCGTTGTTAGGTTGCCGGCGGCCAGCGGTGGTTGCCAGCAGTCAGTAGTGGCTGGATCGGTGGGGGTGGTTTATTGATTTTTCAAACTTTTATTATGGGATAATTTTTGCCAAGTTTTTAAAAGCAGGGGGTTAAAATAATCCAAATAATAATTAATATTAAAAAAATATAATAATAATATTTAATTAGAGGATAATTCAATCATTTAAATAATATACTCACTAATTTATTCTTTCTAACCAAATATATTAATATAACATACCCACCAATTAATCAAACATATTTTCGTAAAAATTTTCAGTAATCTTCAAGATAATTTAATTTTTTAGTAATTTAATATTCTTAGTAATCCAGATGCCCTCATAGAGAAACTCAATTCTTGAAAATATATTTTATCAAATTGTTAAAATTTCAAACGGACCAAGATTTACAAAACTCTTACACACGGACAAATAATATAACTAGGAGCACATGCGATTGAAATCTGAAAATAAAGTGGATATAATTTAACAGCTAACACGATGAGGTGTTAGCTAATAAATATAGAGTGGTGTAGTGGTGCCATCAGATTGGCCAGCCGCCCGTGACACTGTAAGTGTTGTAAANACATTTCCTGGAGATTTCTTATAAAGGGCGTTTGGTTGGGAGTTATTGGAGATTATTGGGGTTAAGTCATCTTATATTACTTGATTACCATGTTTAGTTGTCAAGTAATATAAGATACCAGTAATCTTAAAATATCAATAGTAGTTACTATTGATAATATTGGAGGTAATCTCATTTTCTTAGGTATTCTAAGATTACCAGGGTTATCATTTTTTGTTACAATTCTATCCCTTATTAATAAAATTTTAGGACAATAATGCCCTTATTTTTTAATTTATTTACATGAATATGGCTTTTACTATTTCATCCCAATTAATTAACTTTTGGACAAAATTACCTTTGAATTCAAAATAAATTACAACCCACCCAAGCCACTACCCTCACCCACCTGCCGCCGACAACCACCGCAGCGGCCAACAGCCACCGTCGTAGGAACGACGCACGGAAGGCCAAAAATGGTTGCGGTGCGTCGATATGGCCATTTTCGGCTAGATATTTAGTTGGAAATGGCCATATTTAGCCGTTAACGACCATCGATGTGGCCGTTGACGGCCAGATTTGTCACATCTCGCTATTTCGGGCCAAATCTCCCGTCGAAAATGGCCATACAACGCATGAAGGCCATTTCCTATCTTTCGTGTACCGTTAGGTTGCCGACTGCCAGAGGTCGACAGTGGCTGGGTTGGTGGGAATGCTTTGTTGATTTTTCAAACTTTTATTATGGGATAATTTTTGCTAAGTTTTTAAATGCAGGGGGGTTATAATAATCCAAATAATAATTAATATTAAAAAATAATATAATAATAATATTTAATTAGAGGATAATTCAGTAATTTAAATAACATATTCACCAATTTATTCCTCCCAACCAAACATATTAATATAACATACCTACAAATTAAACAACAAATACATTTTCCTAAAGATTTTCAGTAGTCTTCAAGGTAATCTAACTTTTTAATAATCTAATATTCTCAATAATTCAATATTCTTTGAACCAAACACCACTATAGATAAACTCAATTCTTGAACATATATTTTATCAAATTGTTAAAATTTCAAAGGGACCAAGATTTACAAAACTCTTACGCGCGGACAAAGAATATAACGAGGAGCACATGCGATTGAAATCTGAAAATAAAGTGGATGTAATTTAACAACTAACACGATGAGGTGTTAGCTAATAAATATAGAGTGGTGTAGTGGTGCCATCAGATTGGCCAGCCGCCCGTGACACTGTAAGTGTTGTAAAAAGTCGTTTACTATGTGAAACTCTTTTGTCTCGTGGGTTTATGTGCTGTATTATGCTCAAACTGCAATTCGTGAAAATGGGCTCTGAAAAGGCCCTTGCGTCGAATGAGTCAAATGTTTAAGGGGTAAAATATCGGCCTTATGAATGTCTAGTTGATGATACACTACTCACCCTTGGAAGAAAAGGGAAATTTCCTGCTGTTTTACCTGTTAGATGGTTGAAGGTATTTAACACGTTTCATCAAACATCTGGGGAACACTGGAGATTAAATTAAGCATAGATCCAACATACGTGAAAGCTACGTCCATCAAATTTGAAATTGAAGTATTGGATCCTAAGATGTGTGCAAGGCCAAGCACAAGGCACCGCATGGAATAGGATTCTATTAAATATTTAGTTTATGTATAATATACATTTGACCTTGACTTCTGAAATTTAAACAAAGGGGTCCTGTATTCTGATTTATAAAACTTATAGTTTCCACCAAATGCATTAAAGAAATCAATATATTATTAGTTTGATTATTTAATTTACATAGTGTTATTGAATCAAATACTGCAACAAAGCCGTAAACTTATAAAGAAAAATGGGTCGTTATTATAAAATATTCAGGAGTGTCTTGCTCAAAAGTAAACTTTTGTTGTATGCTTTCTGGTAGTTTGGCCGTGATGGTGAGTTGGTGTGATCAATGAGCAAAAAAAATGTGCAAACACGTATTTTCAATTATCAAACTTTGCTTGAATTAAACGTACAATTTCTCACATTGAAATGAACATGAAACTTGAAACCACAAAATATTGAAAAACTAAAGCTTTGAACACACACAATGTGGAAGACCATCTGGACTGGCTACCTCTCTGCTCTTCTGGAAATTTACAATTTGTCGCATGGCTTTCAATATTTGCATATTCTCTTCAGACTTCAACCGTCTTCTGATTAAGAGCTGTGTATCTCCATCTGGCCTTCTCAACAAAGTCTGCATCTAGAAATTGAGCAACAAAAGCCCAAAGCCTGTAAATGTCTTCGAAATTGGCTAGAAATCCTAGTGAAGCGGTAACTACAGTTATTCCGGGGTCTTTTTTATCTTTCTTCTTGCTTTCCGCCATGCCATTTTTATCAAGAACTTTGTCCTTCTCTCTTTGATACTTGTCCGAGAAACATATGTGATGCAATGATCCATAGCTAAGAGATATATTTTTTCGATCGGCAAGCTTTTGAACAAGAACAGGTTCAACCTTTTCCCCTTTCCAATCAAATACATTGAATGCCAATGCAGGTCCCCGATCAAATTTTATCTTTGGCCCATATATTTTAACCAGGGCAACCCCATCTGTGTTAGGATGTAGGAGCTTTGACATTGCATTCGCCAGCCAATTGATCAGACACCTTGCTCTTCTACTAATCCTTGTCAGCCCCAATGAGTCCACCTGATCCAAACCCCTGCATTCAATTTCTATGATCTCATCTCCTTTAGTTTCAGAAGCTTCACTTCCTTTTGGTTTTGCCACAATTTCGGACTTTTGAATCTTGGGAATTTCTTCTGGCTCCACTTTTATAATCCCCAGTGTTTGAATGGATATTGGACCTGAGAATGAGTTTGATGCTGATAGTTCATCCACTTGTTGCTTAAACTTTGATGTCTGTTCAAGTTCTGTTTTGGCACTCAAAGATTCTTCCATTAAACAAAACTGTTTTGCCGGTAGAAGACTGACCATTCCGGAACTCGTTTCACCTTCCAGAATTGGAACAGTTGATTTTTTAACAAATAGGCATCCAAAACCAGATGGGTTTTCCCCAAAAATCTTGTAGAAGGAACAAATGAGGAAGTCCGGGCGAAGGAGGGAGAGGCCAAAACTGTCCATATCTTTTGGCCCCAAAGCGCAAGCATCGATCAAGATGTGCCAACCATTCTCCTGAGCGATCCTCATCCACAGATACGGATATCTTGCCCCTGTCACTCTAGAATGAAGAGGGAACACAAATAGTCCCCTCTTCTTTTTCTTCTTGCTCTTACTCACTAACATTTTTTTCAATTTTGCAGTGTGAATCCTCAGTCTTGGCCATGAGAACTCAGCTGACATGACTGTTGCTCCCTTCTTCTCAGAAGTATTTATCATGGCTTCCACCGCCTCGCTCTCGTAGTCATAAACTGTTAGAAGTTTCTGACTAGACTGGAACGGATAAGATTCCGCTAAAAGTTTGAAAGCTGATGTTCTGTTTGCAGTGAAAACCATGCTGTAATCATTCTCAGAAATATTCAGAAAATTCATGATCTTTTTCTTCATTGCAGATTCCAGTTCTGATTCAGCCCCCCCATGAAGTAATTGCGTCTTCAGATTCCCCGTCTTGTAGGACACACTAAAGAAAGGAATATCCGAAATTTGAGCGGGTGAAGCTTGCGGTAAAGGGGAAGGGGAAGGGGAAGAAGAAGATGCAGTTTGATACTTAGAAGACTCTTGGTTCTGCAACTGATAATAAGAGAAGAGGCCTATGCCAATGTAATCAAGACAAATATGGTTGGAGAGTGAGAGATGATAGTACTCTGTGGCTCTTATTTGATCAATTTGATATGTGTCAGCATACTGCGGATAAGCTTTGGAAAAATCAGAGAAAGATTTTTGCAGAGATGGGAGAGATTCATGATTGGTGAATTGGGTGTTGGGGAAAATAGAAGAAGTAGTTGTTGCAACAAAGTCTCGACGACAATCGGCAGAAATACTTCTAGGCTTGGAGACTTTGTTCAGAGGCTCCGGCGAGTTAAAGAAAGGAGATGGACAACAGCTATGTGGGCATACTTGAGTGACTTCATTCAGGCAAGGTGACTGCATGTTCTGTTTACCTTGAACTTCTCCCATTACCCTTTTAACTGTTTTCTAATTGGATGTTCCTCCTTCCTCTTCGTGTTGTTTCTGTCAATTTATTTCCATGACTTTGTCTTGAATGGTTTCAAGACTGAGTAGCTGATGGATGCGTTGTGTAAACACATCGAATAAGTCAAGCCATTAAGTTGACCTTGTCTTTCATGATTGATGAACCTCACCCTCGTGTTACACGTTTCCCAGCGATGAAGAATCAATGGCACAGATTTCTGCTGATATGGTGATCAAGCACGTACTGTATAAAATCTCTTGAAGCTATAATTGTAGAAAGGTGGTTGTAATAGTCTTTCTTTGATAGTAATATCTCACTTGTTTTTAAACACAGAAGGCGGAGAGAGGAAATCAACAAACACTAGTGGACAACAAAAGCGCTTTTGTATTGGCGGAGTCAGAGCATTATGATTATGAATTTTGGCGAAAAAAAAAAAAAAAGCTTCTTTAGAATGCTTTCATATTTGCTTCATGTTGAAGCTTTCCAAATTGGTCTTAAAATTCCAAAACCCATTGTTTACACTTCACAAAGTCAATTGATTAGCTGCCAAATGACAAATGTCCTCACCTATAATTACTCTAAATTTGCAAAAGGGTGAATTTAATAATTATTTTATAATATGATTCTTTAGGAACAATTTTCTTCTTTGAGTGTCGTGCCTTAAACTTTGAGAAGTGCATTTGGCAAAAAAATTGAACATGGGACCAAGCGTGTTCTAAATTATGATGACTAGATATCCAACTTTAATTTACTTTAGAAAAAGTGAATTTAATTGCTGACCCTCTTTCTCTTTCTTAAAAGGCCAAATAAAAGCCTTTTAACAAGGACTTTCTCCGTAAGTTAAATTTTCATACCTGTCGCTCCTTCATTTCAATTTCATGGGATTCTTTTTTTTTTTTTTGACCGAGTAAACCTCCAGACTCTAATGGCCACCTATATTATCAATTAAGATGAATTGAACTTATAACCTAGTAATATTCAATAGTCTTTATTTAATCACTTGATCATGTAAAGTAGTTTAATCATTTCTTTTTGTTTGAGGTAATAGTTGTAGAGGAGTTTTTCTTTTAATTTCTTTTTTGGAAGTAATATTAATGGTTCTCATTAATGTTACTTTGAATTTTTATGTCTTTTTTACTATCAAAAGTCTAAGACAGCTCAGTATTGCACGCAAATTTAACCAAATCTCAACAAAGTCGTAGCATTGTGAAAACTACTTTCGTATCCATAATCATAAATTAGCGTGACTAATTAGTATGGTTGTGATTTTTAAAATAATCCCTAATCGATCGTGCTGAATAATCAACGTTAAAACAAAAAGTATTTAATAAATTGTGCTTTTAAAATGGAGAACACCTAAAATACTTATAATTAAAAGTGGTCGGTTCTGGATACTCGATATTTTTTTAAGGAACCGAAACCAGGTTAATTCTAATTACTCCCTACTTTTTACAAATGACAAATCCACCCCCAAAAAATTCAATACACCCCTAATAGTTTACACAAATTACAATTCAGTCCCAATTTCTATTAGGCACCTAGACCTCAATTCTTGTTCCTAGTTCCAACACTATAGGAACAGCAACCGAACCCAAAAATTTTCTATTCCAATTTTCCAAAACTAGAACCGGACCCTAATGGGGCCGATTTTAGTTCTACCCTTTACCCATGCTCACCAATCACCCCTACTTATAAACTTATTTTAAAAATATTTATTTAATATCCAAGTGTTAATAAATATTTTTCATTCAATTAATAAAGATAAAATCGGTAATTTAAATTGTTTATTAATTATTTTCATTACCTCAATAAAGGTTCTAATTGATTAAAAAGTAATCTCTCACTTTTTAAATAGGCGAGGTTTTGTAATAATCACTTTTGAGAAATTTTATCAAGCACAATTTTTTTTTTAAGTAAAAAATTATAAAATAAATAGAAATCATCCCAAACACACCCTAAAACAACGCATACCGATACCTAAAATAACAATCAACCAAAAAAAAAAAAAAATCATATCATCTTCTACTTCTTCCCAGCCGGCAGTCTTTTTCTCTCCTGCAAAATCCTTAATCCCACGTACCTGCACCGCAAGATTCATTAAAAAAGATCCATCTTCTACACACAAAATTAACAATCTTTACATTAATTACTTTACCTTCCAAGCATCATAACGGTGGCTTGAGGATTAGTTCCAGGAGAGTTTAAAAAAGTAGATCCATCAACGACCCTCAAAGCGTCCACGCCAACAACTTTATAATCATTATCAACGACTCTTCCAACTTGGCACCCTCCATGATAATGCCATATTGTCATCACAGTGTCTTTGCAAAATTGTTCCAGGGAAATTGAAGCGCTGACGTGCCTTGGTCTCAGGTTCGTGGGGACGTTCACCATCAAGTTTATGAGTCCTTGAACCGGCATGTCACTGTAACGAAACTTGGACAGGGCTTCGATAATGGTTTGCATGCTTTGGGCGCATCTCTTTAAGAAGTCTTGAGGATCCTGGAAATGTTGAAAAGTACACAGGTATCGTTTGCATTGGTGTCATAGATCAAGATGGCCTGTGGAGATGGACCCATAATTTTCTCAAGAATAACTCCAGCTCTTACTGTTCCATTGGAATTTATGTATGATTGCACGGTTTCAAGAGCACTACCATTGCTTCTGGTGGGTCACCATGGACGGCTGTCGTCCCCATCTGCATATATGTAAATTTAAAAAAAAAAAAAAAAAAAATCATGTATTAGGCTTGATATGTATTATTTTCAAACTTTTCCTAAACAGTTTATTTATCAATTTCTTAATAAATATAAATAAATCCTTTTTTTTTTTTTTAAACTTTTAATTATTCTTATTCTCGTACAATTATTTTCAAAAAAGATTTATAGTCCTTAAAAAAAAAGAATAATTTCTTATGGTATTATATGGGCCGATGGCCACCATGATTTAATCTACATTTGATAGGTTTCAATGGGCCAAGAGCAGACCTAATTCCTCTTATTGTCGTGAGATCAAAATATGGTCAGAGCCTTTTAGACTAAAAATTAGAGATTGTGAGGAAAAACAAAACCTTATTCGTGAACAATTCTAGTATGCAGAAAGCCTTTGGGCCCAGTACGCAAAGCTCAGTCCACTGGCCGTTTCAATGTAGCTTACAAACCTTGTATGCCCACAACTTGAATGAGAGACCTCAACTGGCTGAGGAGAAGGGATGAAGAGTGCGTTCATTGATATCAGAACTGATCCCTTGCCCACCCCAAGTTTGCTCACCACCACGTCGATGCCATGTCTGTAGTGATGTGAGGCAGGTCCAATACCACTCAGCATCAACAACTGTGGACTTCCAATTGCACCAGCCGATAAATTATCTCACCTTAACGGAACTTTTGATTAAGCAGGCTCTGTGAGTCCCTCCTGACGCATCTTCAAATATCCCAAGGAGCTTTGGCCTCGCCTCTCTTCATCAATCAAAACGGGAAGAACAAGCAACATTGTCACAGCTGAATTATTATATAGTGCAAGCATGATTACAAGAACGAAATATAATTTACCATTTGTTGTAAATAAAATTTTCTGCACGGTTGGCATGCAAATAAACATAATTTCTTGAGGATCAGCGTACTCTAGCAAATCGGCAGCCGTTTGTCTATGGCCGTCGCTATCAAAAAAAGTCCCCCAACCTTCGTCCCATATATGATCATGAAATCCATTATACGGCAACACTCCAACTCAATCAATCCATCTCTCACTGCGGATTGCCATGCAACATTGGGTGTTCAAACGCCACCATTCTTCCCACCCATTCATAAGAATGTTTCACACAAATCTCACTCCAACAAAGCTTCTTTGTGTAAATTTTCACACGACTCGAGTGTAAAATCCTGCGTTAGGGGACGCTCCCCGCCGCCGAGAACACGGGCACGGGCATATGCACCCTCCTTCTTCGGAGATAAACTGTTGGGAGAAGGTACTGGAGAAGTGTCCGAGAGAGTGGTGGCGAAGTTGCCTAGGTCGTTAGGGTTTGTATTGTGAGCTCCCTCTTTCCATTACTAAAACGACTGCGTCTTCTACAGAGTTGCAGCTAAGGGACAGCCTGCGGTTCCTCCACCGACTATTATGTAGTCCGTATATGAAATGGCGGCGAGCTGAAGTTGCTTCTTTTGACAAATGTGTTGTATGGAGCTGTAAATTAAGAGAGATTAAACCTGATTATTACGTAAAGCTTTAAATATGAACAAATAAGAGGTAAAAACAATTGTTTGTAGACCTTTCTCTGAGTAACAGAACGCATGGAAAAGAAAAAGGCTAGAAGAGCAAAGGAAAAATCTCCGCCATTGCAAACCCATAACTTGACTATTGTACAAACTTAACAATTCTGCTATCTTGGTGTGCTTTAACAGAAGAAACTACTATTCTTTAAATTTGGCCAACTCTCAGCGTGTAGAACGGTGTAAATTCTTTTGGTGCAAATTCCCCACTTTGTTTATGAGAAAGATAATTTAATCTATTCACGCCATTAATTTGAACCCCCACTTCATATAAAGATTCAATATTATTCTTAAACCTTGTTAATTAATATACTAATGTGTGGCTTTAATTACCAGAACTTCTTTCCCTTATCTTTCACCTATACTTACCAAAACTACAACGTGCAAATAATGCTAGACAGGCGCTCCATTTTTTATGAACATGAAGATTATTTATAGGCAAAAACATTGATGACATTAGCACAAATTCCCTGATTAATATAGCTTTATTGGTGCTGACATTTACGTGATCTTACTCTTAAATTGTCTTCTTGATTAAACTAGTCAAAACCAACTCACCCATCTGTCACTATCTCTTTCTTCTTTCTTTTTTGATTTCTGTTAATTGTGAAAACCTAAGGTCACGCTTGACCAATCTTTTAGCACTTATTACAAGCTGCAAAGGCTGTGTAAAATTGTTAGAGCGGCCATGATATCTTTAGTGGTGGGCCTCAGGAATGTAAAAATATTTTTAACTTAACTAAACAGTATTATAATAGTTTTGAGCCTTTTTTTTTTTTTTTTGTTTAGACCAAGAGTGTTCAAACCGACTTACACCACTTCAACTAATTCTCAGGA